TATTTACAGAAACAGTAGGCATAATATCGAACCAACCATAATCTTCACCTGAGGTTGTCTTCCCCTGAGGAGTATGGCTGGGAGGGGAAAATAATTCATCTTCAGAGAAGGTAACATTCATGGTGATGTACGCTATGTCGAATGGATGGATGATAACATCTATAGCCTTTTTGTTGAGGATGAAAGCCAAGGAACACACATTGCACCGCACATGGATCAAGCTTGCTTCTTTGATTTTTGTGAAGATGAACATATGCCACATAACCAAAAACCCGAGGTTTGAGATGAAGAGTGGAAGGGAGCAAAACATGATCAGCAAGCACGGCCAAGGGGTTTCTAAAAGAGAGAACACGCGATGGCATTCGGTTCATGATATAAATAGTATAAATGACTGCATCAGCCCAATATGTCTTGGGTGCACAACTACCAATAAGAAGGGCACGGTAATTTCAAAGATGTGCCAATTTTTTTGTTCGGCAAATCCATTTTGTTGTGGGGTTTAAGGACACATAGTTTCATGAAGAATGATATTTTCCGTAAAAAACTGAGAAAGTTCCTGATTAAGATACACACTACCGTTGTCTGACCGAAACACTTTAACAGGGAGTGAATACTGAGTATAGACCATGTGATAAAATGCTTTGAAGATGTCACCCACATCACTTTTATTTTTTATGAGGTACAACCGAGTCATTCTAGTGCAATCATCAACAAATGTTACCAACCAACGCACACCATGCTGAGTAGTAACCGGAGATGACCCTCACACATCATAATTAATTAACTCAAACGGAATTGTTCTTTTATGCAAACTCGGGGGATAAGAAGCTCGATGACTTTTGACTAATGTGCAAACATTATACCTTAACGAAGAATCTGAAATATTACCAAATAATGACGGAAGTAATTTTCCCAAATAACCGAAGGAAGCATGACCAAGACGACGATGCCACAACTGAATAGTCTTCAACTTTCCATTATCACGACCTTGAACTTGATGAACACGGCCTTGTGTAACATCATCAACAAAGTACAACCCCTTCCTCTTAGTACCACGCCCAATGATCGCCTGAGTTAAACAGAAAAACGGAAACATTTGCACAACACAGTCTAATTGCTTAGTGACTTATGCTACAGATAACAAATGGCTAGAGAGTGTGGGAACAAGCAAGCAATTGTGTAAGGAGAAAGTAAGAGTGAGTGCAATCGAACCCGTCCCTGTAACTAGGGCAACACGTCCATTTGCAATGACAATACTATCCCGGGATGGTGGTGTTGTAGGGTTAAATAAAGTATGATCATAAGTCATATGATCAGTAGCTCCGGAGTCAATAATTCAACTCGTATCATGATCAATAGATGCAATCAAGGCTGTGCCTGTGTTACCTGGATCATTGGATTCCGCGTTTGAAGCAGTCATATTTAACAAAGAGGGTTGCGGGCCCAATTCATCTGGGTCTGCTTTCTGACCGTTTTCCGCGGGTGGGCAGGTTGGGCCCATGCCTTTTGGACCGGCTGCATAGCCTGCTGTTGCTTTTCCATGGGAGTGTCGGGCTCCTGACTTGGCAGGCCCGCTTCCAGATGCTGCAGCAAGTTCTTTTCCTCATTGCGCCCCTGACTGGTCAGGCCTGCTTCCAAGCGGTGCAACCTTTCCTTGTTCGCATGGGTTGGTAAGCCCACTAGCAGATGTGACCCTCTCGTCGACCATAGGTTGTGGCTTTTGTGATTTATTCTTTCTGTTTGATCCTAATTCAATATTCTTATGAAAGTCTCTTCCCTCGAGACTTTCAACTTTTGAAAATAGGTAATTGCTTTTGGTCTGTGGTTTTGGCAGCTAGTCAAACAACTCTTGGCTTTCTGCAGTCGGCTGGGCAGCGGGCAAGAATTTCTTTATTTATTTATTTTACGCGGGCAATAACTGAGACTAGGGTTGAGGAAGTGATAGGCCGGAAGCTATTCTAATGTCAAGATAAAACTAATTTTAGAATTTTAATATATTTTTCTATATTCTTCTCTCGTAGGAGTCAACATATATATATAAAGTTATTGGCACTTCAAAAATCTCATTCTACACTCTTCACAAGTATATTTTTCTTTCTAAATATAAAAAGTTTGGAGTGCCAATAACAATTCCCATATATATACACACACATACTCAATCTTTGTACTACAAAGAATATTAAAAACATAAAATGAGAGTTATACCCAAATTAAGAAACACAATTACATTCCTATTGTATTATTGTTGACTCACGCCAACATGTTTCTCTACTTATATTAATTGTGTTTCTTGGTTAAACTTGTACAAATGTTAACAAATCTCTTCAAAAAAATGCTAGAGAGACCATGTTTTATAAATCACATTTATACCATACATATCTCTAATAAAACAAGATTCACATGTATTACGAACGATACTCCTATTAAAAATATAGTTTGGATGTGGTAGCATCACCCCTCTCTTAACAAACCAACAACAAAATAATGTCACCGCTATTTAGCTCAAATCACCAAATAATGAAACATGTCACTTAACAAATAACAAAAAGTAGCTATGTGAAGGTTTAGAGTGAAAATTTTTCAATGTGTTTACTCAGGAGCTTTACTCTTAATTAATTAACTAATTGCCAAATAAAATAGGATCAAAAATTTTAAACTAAATGATGTGTCATCAATAATAAATAAGTACGTTAATCAACACTTCAGTAATAATCTAATCATTAACTACCAGGTCATTTAATTTGTAAAATTTAGTCTCCCTAGCTGACACACCCCGATCGAGATCAGGGCGTGCTGCCCGTCACACGAATGTGACGTAACCATGTGCACGTGCGGAAGCTAATAAAATAGTAATATAAAAGTACGAATAATTAAAAACTAGCATACAAAGTACTAAACAAGTGCTAGCGTAAGTGAGACGCTAAATTCAGAGCAAGTCTACAGCAGTCCAAAAGAAAAGATGCGACAATAGTACACCCGAAGGTGACCTTACGCTGGTGAGTATCTGTCAGAAAAGCCGGGAGAACCCTCTGGGAAACCACCGAGACTGCTAAGCAACTAGAACCTGGAGGGGCGCAAAACAAAAGCGTGAGTGGGCAAAAATAAAGCTCTTTGAAAACCATTTAGTAAATACATTCTAACCCCTCGCCGTAAAACCTGTATACTTCCCAGAAAATAAACATATATACGTATGTATAGATATGCCAAACATGCTCAAGGGTATGCCAATCATGCTCAAGAATATGCCATGTCGGAATCTCCTAATAAAATGCAAGTGCTCAGGTATAAATCATAACAATAACATGTAACTTGGCAGCCGGAGTCACCTAACGTGACCTGTACGGCTGCATATAGAGCTCAAATCTCAAACTCAATAACTGAACCTGCCCACGAGTCGGAACCACCTAAAGTGGTCTGTACGACAGGCTTGTGTGTAACATATATATACGCTCTAGTGCTACGATCACGTGAAGGCTGTGCGAATAATCGCGGGTCACCTACGAGTCGGAACCACCTAATGTGGTATGTATGACAGGACTGTGCACCTAACTTGGATCCAAGCTGAGCGTGTGGTGCGGGAGGTGAACATCACGTGAAGGACTGTGCCCTACTCTGGGCGGGAGCACTAACACCGGGGGTGCAGGTTATGAGCTCTCTAAGCATCTCAAACTATTACTGAATGTAAATATGAATACCACTTACCTGGCACTTACCTGTGCATCCACAGCACCCACTATGCATATGTATATATATATGCAACTACTAATGCATGTAATGGTGCATAAAGAATAATAATATGATGCATGGCATAACACAAATAACCCTTTTTAAACAATTTATGGGAATATAAATGTATATAGGTATATACGGAAAACCAAAAGCCCACTCACTGGTAAGTGGAAGGGTCGTAGCCCCCCTGCCTCGAGTGACCACGCTCGTCCTCGAGGTACGTATCACCTATACGCGAAACAACTATAAAAACGTTAATTTAAAAGCACATAACCAACTTCTCGTAATAACTTCTCATACATTGCTCAAAATGGACAAATGAATATACCAACGTGCTCTACACAACCTCAGGAACACAACCAAATTTTTAGAAAAATTTTCCTCCGCCGCATGCGCCCCCACGCACCGGCCAAGGCACGGCCACATGCGCCGCCCACACGCAGGCACGTGCCTGGCACGCTGACGGCGTCAACTGACGCCGTGAGGAATATTCCGTTATTTCTAACGGATTCCGTCAACGGCGTCAGGAATATTCCGTCAAGTTTGACGGAATATTCCGTCACCTTCTCCGGCGACGTCGCCGGCGCCGGAAAACTGGAAAAACTTCTAACTTCATTTTCTCACTCGTTTCTCAACCATTTTCCACGATTCTTGAACCAAATTGAAGCTTAGGACTAGTAGAACAACGTTAGACCACTTTTAAAGCCTAAAAATCACGAGATCATACCTGTCCACAAACTCCAAAACCGGCCAACTTCGAACCAGGCTATCCCGACGTCCAAATTTGTCCAACGAAGTACTCCGAGGTTCCTTGGGACACCACCAAGCTACCTACGAGCTTAAAAAAAATCCCAAAAACGTGCTAGAATAAGTTTGCATGAATAGTACTCAAATCGGAGCTTGTGAAATCGTTGCCAACACCACACAAACCACCAAACAATAATACGAAAACAAGCTAGGGGAAAAAGGGTCATTTCACATGTACGTTTTAATAATCTCGGGACGGGATGTCACACTAGCACCCTTCTTGATGATGTTGTAAAACAACTAATAATTTGATAAGGGTAATACTGGAAAGACTTAATTTGTAAATTAAATGATATATCACCAATAAAAAAATAAGCAAGTTAATCAATATTAAATAATAATCCAATCGTCAACTTTCATGTTATATTTAGTTTACAAAATTTAATCTCACTGCATTAATAACTATAAAATAAAAGGTTTTCTTCTTGTTGGAATAAAATAAAAAAGTTCGAAAAACTTTGATGCTTTTGTGACTGTGCTGAGAAATATTTGCACTAAAATAGATGTTGGGTTGGAAACCATTGCCCTGTGTTTGTCGTCTTCTTTCCGCGTTCTTCTTCTTATCTTCCGTCTCGGACCTTCGGACTCTCCACCTTCCTATCCGATGGACTTCCCAAATTCCTCTCCAACCATCACACGCCATGTGGCCGCGCTGCCGATACCCGGCCGCGGCCACATCAACCCAATGATGTGCCTCTGCAACTCCCTCGCTTCCCTCAACGCTGCCGATAGCAACATCAACTTCCTTGTAACCTTCATAGTCACCGAGGAGTGGCTGGGATTCATCGGATCGGATCCGAAACCTGACAACGTAGTCTTCGCCACCATTCCCAACGTCATCCCCTCCGAGATCGGCCGAGGCGCCGACTCCCCCGGTTTCTACGAAACCGTCTTGAGAAAAATTAGAGCCCCGGTCGAAGACCTCCTCGACAGGCTCGAGCCGCCGGTTGCTGCCTTGATTGCGGACACGTACTTGGTGTGGTCGGTTGAGATAGGGAACCTGAGGAATATTCCGGTGGCTTCTCTTTGGACCATGTCCGCTTCAGTCTACTCCGTCTTTCATTTCTTCGATCTCCTCGTCCAACATCGACATTTCCCGGTAAATTTGGGAGGTACGTAAATAACAGCGCAAACTCAGTTCGTGTTTTTAATTTTAACCTCCACGTTTAGTAATAATATCAAACACGTATGTTTTTGTTTGTTGCCGAATGTCAAATTCAGTCATGTTTTATTTCAATTTGAGCATTGTGGCTTAACTAAATCTGCTTTTTTAGGTTTGTTTCATAACTATTTAGTTTTGAGTTTTTAATTTTCACGATTTGTGCTTGACATATGAGGAACCGTATATGAGGAAAATGAGGGATAAAGATGAGAGGAGACAGAGGAGTGAAAACGATTTGTTTTTTCTTAATAATTGAGATAATCTATTGAAAAAATCAAATCGAATCGGGTTGAAAGCACGACTGGATTTGACGTTTGTTACACACTGTGTGTCTCATTTGTATTATGGATAATGATATCCACGCACTTATTTTAATCTCTCCACCGGTGAAGCCACATTAAAAGCTATCCTGGAGTGTAGTTTAGGTAGCTTTCGATAGAAAATAAAATTTTATATGTAATCTTTACTAAATATAGCTCATCATATATTTAGTCTCTGATTTGAATTCTTTCGGTTTAATTATATAATACAATTTGCAAACCATCTTTTTTTCTCACATTTTTTTCTCATCGTTTTTTTGTACATGTATAAGTTTGAATTTGTTTGAATAACGAAAATACTTGGCTCAACTTGTGAAAATTTTCTTAAGCTAACTGATACTGTAAATAATACAGTCTCAGACTCTCAAGTTTCTTTGTTTATAAAGATTTAAATCTTTAAGCTAGCCCATTCGGTAAAAAATTTCTACCTCCACCATTGAATTCTCCCATACACCTTTGTTAACTTTTTTGTCATTAATCGTTTTTAATTTATTCGATTCAACAGTCTAAAATTGAAAATGGTGTATGAAAAGTAAAATAAACGGGTGGATAACACTACCATTACCATGTAACATTTTGTCTTTTATTTTTTTATGTAGAAAGAGGAGAAGAGCACGTTGACTACATCCCGGGACTTCCTTCTACACGTGTGGCAGATCTTCCCACGTGTTTCTACGCCAAAGGGCTTAACGTCTTGGATCGAGCACTAGAAGCAATTTCAAGCCTGCCCAAAGCACGATGGCTTCTGTTGCCTTCGGTGTACGAGCTTGAAGCCCGAGTTATTGACGCGTTGAGGGAGAAAATTCTGATTCCTGTTTACCCCATTGGACCCACAATACCTCATTTCAAGGTGGAGGCCCAGTCAAGGCCCATTGAGGCTCAACTTAAGCCCAACGAGTCCCAATATTTTGATTGGCTAGACAAGCAACCAAAAGGGTCGGTTTTGTACGTGTCACAAGGGAGTTTGCATTCAGCTTCCAAAGCCCAAATGGAGGAAATCGCATGTGGCTTGAGAGAGAGTGGGGCCCGGTTCTTTTGGGTGGCACGTGAGGAAGCTTTGGAGTTGCAAGAGAAGTGTGGTGAGATGGGGATTGTGGTGCCTTGGTGTGACCAATTGAGAGTATTGTGTCACTCTTGTATTGGTGGATTTTGGTCTCATTGTGGTTGGAATTCGACCTCGGAAGCTGTTTTTGCTGGCCTTCCAATGTTGACTTTTCCTATATATTGGGACCAAGTGCCCAATAGTAAGATGATTGTGGATGATTGGAAGATAGGGTGGAAGGTGAAGAAGGGTACGGGACAAGAAGAAATTTTGGTGACTAGAGAGGAAATTAAAGGGATTGTTAAAAGGTTTATGGATTTGGAAAGTGAGGAAGGGAAAAACCTTAGGAGGCAAGCAAGAGAGATTCGGGACATTTGTCGGCAAGCAGTTCGAAAGGGTGGCTCGTCTTATTTCAACATTGAATCATTTATAAGTGACCTATCAAGATGTGAGAAGCATTGTTAATGACAATATAGTCTAGTGACATTTACTTTCTACTTTATTGTTAGAGATAATAAGTTAGCATCTTGAATTAAAAAGAATAAAGGAAGAAGCATTAAGGAAATTGTTGTTGTATATTAATTTGGTTTCATTGCCCATCACAAATATATATGTATGAGACAAATAGAAGAATCTAGGAGATGAACTTAGTACTCACTTGGGTGCTGTCTCAAAACGTGAATTATGACTTTTTGTATTGATGTGTAGAGAATATTACAATTATAAGTTACAATAAGGGTTTTTTTTTTTTTTTTTTTTTTTTTTTTTTTAATAGAAACGGTATGATATTCATTAAACGGCAAAGAATACGTACAACCTGAGGATAGTGTGCATACTGGGCCTCAATAAAAACCTTGCCGGGGATTTCAACTCGGTCAAAGAGAAAAAGAGTGTCCTGCACAACAATGTAACCTACCCTCAACTAAACAATAAAGAAATTACCTTCCCTCCTCAACTAAAACATCTTGGAGTAAATCCGAAGGCTCCTCAAATCACATAAACTCTTGAGAACTCCCAATACCCATACGAGCAAGGTGATAAGCTGCAAAATGACCCTCCCATTGCACATGGGTAAACCTTAAGTGATCCATCCCTTTGAGGAAGAATCTAACATCGTTTATTACAGACCCTAAGGATGAGCAATCTTCCCCTTGATCCTTCATTGCCGTGAGTACCAAGCGAGAGTTTCCTTAAAAAATAACCTTCCAATCGAGAGGACAATTATTTTTAACCAATAAAACTGCACTTTGAAGAGCTATCAACTACGCATGAAATGCAGATTGAGTCATCTCAATCGGACTTGTAGAAGCAATCAAAAACTCCCCCAAATGACTACAAATTACCACCCCAAATCCCCCTCGACTCCCATTTTGACTCCATGCCCCATCAAAATTGCACTTGTCCCACCCAACTTCAAGTTTCTGCCGCTGCTGCGCCTCTCGGCTAGCCTTCTTAGCAATTTTCTTATGCCACTTATGAAATTCAATCAACCAGCCCTCATCTCTCATCACAACCTCCTACGGTGGGAGCGACTTATGGTTCTAAATCATGTCATTCCTTTTCTTCCAGAGAGCCCAAATCAACATCAAACAAAATTCAAAACCAGATGACTGAAGTTGCAGAGATAACCGAGAGATGCAGTGCACTAGAGACAACCCGTGATCTATCTCCACGTTTATTCCTAAACTTCAAAACCACACCACCTTCACTAAAGTACAATCTCGTAAGGCATGCTCGACAAACTCGACTTGCCCACCACAAACTACACACAAATCTTCACTCATTACTCGCCGTTTGCAAAGATTCGAGCGTGTAGGTAATGCGTCTAAACACGTATGCCAAACACAGATCTTAACCTTCCCAGAAACATATGTATCCCATAACTTCTTCCAAAACTTCTCTCCCACACTACCAAAAGATGAAGCCGATGTTGCTGCATTTCCCCCTTTAGAAACATTAAGGGCCTGTGCTACATGGTAAGCACTCCTCACCATGAACTTGCCATTCCGTTCATGGTGCCATATTCGATGATCCTCCACATTGCTCAATCTAAAAGGATTGCTACGAATTAACTCCACTTCCTCCGAAGAAAATAGCTCATCCAATAACTGAATATCCCAGAGATTTGAGCCATTCCAAAATAGGTCACCCACCGTAGCTTCAATGCTCCAATGCGCCGGAGAAGGGGACAAAATCTGAAAGTAATGGTCTCTCGGCACCCAACTATCTTGCCAAATGCATGTGCTTCTCCCATTACCCACCTGCCACCGTGCTCATTTCTGAATCACCCTTCGTGAGGCTGCAATGCTTTTCCACATATAGGAGTAGTTGGCGTTAACCCGAGCCTCCAAAAAATTCGTCATAGGAGAATATCGAGCCTTGAATACTCAAAAGGGTTTTCAGTTAAGGGCTTTAGGGTTGGGCTTTTAATTCAACGAGCTGAAGACCCTAGTTTTGTTTAACCCAAATGGCCTGGTTTCTTTGGGTTTGGGCGAGCCGGCCCGTTTCTTGCTGAGGAAGAAGACCAAAGCTTCCCTAGCTCCGGTTGACAGAAAACCAACACCCTAGCCTACGATCTAGGTACGAAAATGAAGAGTAAGACAAGACGAAGGGATCCATACCTTTAGGGTCTCTTGTCATTGGCAGAGAAGTGGTCGGAAAGTCGACTTAAAGTCGTCAGACCCACAGAGGAAATGGGTGTGCTTCGTGTTTCACAAATGAGAGGTGGGAGAGAGTACGAAGTATGTGGGGGGGGTGGTAAGTGTATCCTTGGAGAAGGAGAGAGATATATAGATATGCGAGAGAAGGGGTACTGAGCTGAGAGAAAGAGAACTGTGAGGGAGAGAACTCGGGGGAAGAGAAGAGATGAGAGAGGCCGAGGGACAAAAGCTCCAAGGTGGGGCCCACTTGGCTCACCAACCAATCCCAAAAAGCAACAACCCAAAATAAAAATATCCCATTTTTGGTGAAATTTCAGAAATGCCTTCCTAAATCAAAATCTGTCAAAACGATCTGGACGGGTTGTTACAAACTATATTAGCTTCACTAGAGAAATCTTCTTCTAAGAGATCTTGGGTTTGGGAGCATGTCACTAAGTGTATTGTCTCGGAACTACAAGAAGTAGAAAATGATGGAAAGAAATAAATGGTGGAGGTACAAACATTGAAGGTTAAGAGTAACCATTGTAACACCCTTTTTGCATGTAATACTAGTGGGGTGAAACTAGTACTTACATTAAACATATCAATAAACATTGCAAGAGTTATAAACCAACTGATGAGTTACAAACGGTTATAGGCAGTTATGGACCTTCTGGGGACATTAAAAATATGCTTGTTGCTAAAAGGCGGAGCCAAGAAGAAAGTGTGGAAGGTATTGTTGAGTATATTGTGATCGACGAGGTACCTTTTAGAGTTGTGGAGAGTGATGGATTTAGGCGGATGATGTGCAAAGTCCATCCTAGATTGCATGTTCCATTTCGGAAAACTATTGTGAGGGAGTTATTCAATATGTATGATGCCATAAAAGATTAGTTAAAAAAAGAGATACACAAGCATAAAGTTAGCTTGCCTACTGATACATGGACAAGTGTGCAAAATTTGAACTACATGGTGTTAATCGCTCATTTTGTGGATGATGAATGAAATATGCACAAAATGATTCTAAACTTTTGTTTGATTTCAAGCCATGAAGGCAAAGAAATAAGGAAGTTGATTGAGCAATGTTTGGTTGAGTGGGAGATTGAAAATGTGATGTGTATCTCAGTTGACAATGCATCAGCTAAGAAGGTGACAATTGAGTATGTTGTTCGTAAAATGCAGAAATGGCAGAAATGGCCTAATAGTAAAATCATTATGAATGGCAAGTTTATGCATGTGAGGTGCTTAGCTCATATTATCAACTTGGTAGTGAAAGATGGGTTGAAAAGATTAGATACAAATGTGGATGCTCTTAGAAATTCTGTGTGGTTTGTGAAATCAAGTCCCCGAAGGTTTAGTTATTTCAAGAAATGTGTGGAGAATGAAAAGTTGGATAGTAGGGGTTTAGTTGTTATGGATGTGCCTACTAGGTGGAATAGTACATACATGATGTTAGAATCTTGCATGAAGTTTAAAAAGGCATTTGAAAGGATGTCCAAAGATGATGAAGCTAATATATACTTGACCTATTTCAGGGAAAAGGTACTTAATGATGAAGGAGAAGAAGTGGCGAGTAAAAGGAAGGTTGGACCACCTAAGGAGGAAAATTGGGATGGTGCAGAAGTCTTTGTGGAATTTTTGAAGGTCTTCTATCTTGTAACTTTGAAAGTTAGTGTAAGTAAATATCCCACATCTAATACAGTTGTTCATGATGTCATTGCTATGGAGAACGAGATTGAAAAGCTTTTTTTGCCTGAATATATGCAAATTGGATGAACTGTGGAGTTGGTGCTACGTGATATGGCAGTGAGCATGAGAGCCAAATACCGAAAGTATTTTGGTTCAATTGAGTCCCTTAATCAGATATTTGTAGTTACCCTTGTCTTAGACCCAAGGTTCAAATTGATGCACTACATGCACTTGTGTAGCAAGCAATTACAGCTTCGTGAAGAAGAGATTCAACAGAAAAGTAATGAAGTGAAGACATTGTTGAAGGCGATGTGTGATGAATATGCTCAACAAGCTTTCGGTTCACAAACACAACAAAAGGGTAAAGAAGATTTAGTTGTTAACACTACTTGTTCAAGGGTAAAACAATCATCTTTTAGTGTACCAATAGAAAATCCAATGATATTTAGTCAAATGATGGATGATTGGGAGAAAGAACTAGAAGACACCGAGGATATTGCGCTTGCACATGAGGTGGATAGGTATCTCCTTGATACTCTAGAGAAAGTACCACATGGTCCATCATTTGAGGTTTTGAAATGGTGGAAGTTGAAAGGGATGAGCACATATCCCACACTTGCTTTAATAGTGAAAGATTTGTTGCCAATTTAAGTGTCAACAGTTGCTAGTGAATTTGCATTTAGTGTAGGAAAAAGAGTAATTGACCCATTTAGATCATCTCTCATTCCTCAAATAGTGAAGTCATTGATATGCCTCCAAAACTAGTTAAGAAGTGAACAAATTAGCAACATTAAGTATGAAGTATGTCCCGCGGAGCTTGAATTTTATTGAGTGTGAATAAGGTAATTATTTTGTTTTGTATAGTTTGGTTTATAACTTTATATTAATTGTTGTCTTCTTCTATTCATTTACAATTAGCATGCTTCTTTTGTTCTTTGTTGTAGAATATAAAAGAAGAGAAGAAAATACTATATCTACAAGTTCAACCATCTCACCAAGTGTTCTTGAAATTGAAGCTCCTCAAACAACTCAAACGAATAAAGGAAAAAGGAATTGTGGTAATATTTTAAATTCAAATGAATAAACTTTAAATTTCAATAATTCAATGAGGATAATATGATATTGGACGTTAAAAATGTCATGTTTATATTCTCTTTTACCCATTATTCTTGTAGGATACTTGGAGCTTTCATTTTCAACATATGAGCGAAGGATTTTCACATTTCTTCATGGGCAT